CCAGCCTGGGTGAGGGGCTGATGGCTGTTTGCAGGCTGGTCAAGCCTCCCCCCCCAGTGGGGTCCCTCACCCCATGGAGGTTTGGCCAGTCTGGGTGAGGGGCTGAGGTCCGTTTTCAGGCTGGCCAAGCCCCCCGGCAACGGAAGCTCCCAGCCTCTCCTTTTTTTCTTTTTTTTTTATTCTGGGTTTTATTTATCTTCTATAATTGAAACTTTGTAGCCTTGAGAGGAGCTCAGAGCCGGCCAGGGTAGGCGGGAGGGAAGCCTCCTGCTCACTCCCGCTCCGTGGCCACAGCCGGCTGAAAGCAGGTATCTGGGGTTTATTTACCTTCTATAATTAAAACTTTGTTGCTTTGAGTGGAGCTCAGAGCCAGGCCGTGGGAAGTGGGAAGCTTGGCTGCCTCCATCATTGGGGCAATCAAGCCTCCTGCTTGCTCCAGCTCCATGGCTGTTGGCCGCCATCTTGGTTGGGTTAATTTGCATATAGTCGCTCTGATTGGCTGGGGCGTGGCTTAAGGCATAGCAAAGGTATGGTCAATTTGCATGTTTGTCTTTTATTAGTGTAGATGATATGAATTCAATGTGGACATCGTGGTGGTATATACTACATTGTGTGTGTGTGTGTGGGGGTGGACCATGTGTAAGATGGTGGTTAACAGGTGAACATAAAACCAAGACTGACATGGTACACACTACACTGTGTGTGTATGTGTGTAACATATGTAAGATGGTGGTTTACAGGTGAACATAAAGCCAGGACTGACATGGTACACACTACATTTTGTGTGTAGTGGAACATGTGTACGGTGGTCTCACAGGTTAACAGGTGAATAAAGCCAGGGCTGACATGGTACACACTACATTATGTGTGGGGGAGGAACATGTGTAAGATATGGTTAACAGGTGGACATAAAGCCAGGACTGACATGGTATATACTACATTGTGTGTGTGTGTGTGTGTGTGTGTGTGTGTGTGTGTGAGAGAGACATGTGGAAGGTGTGTGTGTGTGAGAGACATGTGGAAGGTGGTCTCACACAGGTTACAGGTGGATGAGGCCAGGGCTGCTTCTCCAGCTTGCAGATCCACGTGCCGGGCCCAGACTCAGTGTGAGAGACATGTGGAAGGTGTGTGTGTGTGAGAGAGACATGTGGAAGGTGGTCTCACAGGTTACAGGTGGATGAGGCCAGGGCTGCTTCTCCAGCTTGCAGATCCACGTGCCGGGCCCAGACTCATCTCTTGGAGGCGGCACATGGTGTGCACATGTTGACGATTCTAACCGTGGTCTCCTGTTTGCTCCACTCAGATCCGCAGCCAGAGCAAAGCGTCGGGCTCCGGGCTCTGTGAGGGGGATGAAGTGGTCTCCATCAACGGCAACCCGTGTGCGGACCTCACCTACCCGCAGGTCATCCGGCTCATGGAGAGCGTGGCCGACTCACTGCACATGCTCGTCAAACGGTAGGAGCCTGCGGGGGGTGGGGAGGGGCACTCACCCCGCATGCCGGCTGGGAGGGGGACAGCCTCCGACCCATAGATGTGGGTGCCCTGCGGAGGTCAGTGAGGCAGACAGGAGGGCCACAGGGTCTGAGAACTGATGGCTTTGACCCACTGAATTTTCTGGGTGATTGAAAATTAACTTGGAAATCTTTGTTTTGAGAATTTTGGTGGAAATCTTGGTTATTTAAAACTAGTTCCTTAGACAGCTCAGCATGTTGAACATAATTTAGTCCTTCCAGATCCAGGTTTTGTGGTGGGTCAGGGCCCCACAGATGGATTAAAAACATTTAAATAGCAAACCATTACACTATACACTAACTTTTTCAAGAAAGAAATGCCCAGGAGAAGGAGAACAACAACAAAAGCTTTAAAAGCAGCCAGATTCCTGATGCCAGAACCTCCATAAAACCAATATCTGGGTGGTTAGAATAAAGTTTTTGGACTATCAACGCAAATCTCTTGTTAATTTTATCTCCCCCTACTCATCCTCCCCAGTAATTGCTTAAAAACGCAGAAGTAAAGTTTAAACATAGAAACAAAAGAGAACAAAGGGGGTGCCCGGCCAGTGTGGCTCAGTGGTTGAGTGTCGACGCATGCACCCAGAGACCACAGGTTTGATTTCCGGTCAGGGCACATGCCCGGGTTGCAGGCTCGATCCCCAGTGTGGGTCCGCAGATCAATGTTTCTCTCTCATTGATGTTTCTGTCTATCTCTCTCCGTATCTCTTTAAAAATCAATAAAAATATATTTATTTTATTTTTTAAAAATATATTCTATGTCAGAGAGGAAGGGAGAGGGAGGGAGAGATAGAAATATCAATGATGAGAGAATCATTGATTGGCTGCCTCCTGCACGCCCTATACTGGGGGTCAATCCCGCAACCTGGGCATGTGCCCTTGCCCAGAATGGAACCCGGGACCCTTCAGTCCGCAGACCGACACTCTATCCACTGAGCCAAACTGGCTAGAGCAAAGTATATTTTTTTTTAAAAAAAAATAAAACAATGGGAGCAATCACACACACACAAACAGTAGCATCCACATTTCCATGCAAACCACAGCCCCGGCCGCACCAGCTTTGCAGGGAGACTGACATCGCGTTGTAATAACTCCAGACAGGAAAGCCCTGGACCCTGGAGGGAGCCTTCCTGGGCGAGTCAGAGGGCCCCCGCTGGTTGCATTCAGTGTGATCTCATTTCCCCCTTTCTAATATTGATGTCAGAGAGGAAGGGAGAGGGAGAGAGAGAGAGAAACATCAATGATGAGAGAGAATCATGGATCGGCTGCCTCCTGCACATGCCACACTGGGGACCGAGCCTGCAACCTGGGCCTGTGCCCTGACCGGGAATCAAACCATGACCTCCTGGTTCATAGGTTGACGCTCAGCCACTGAGCCACACCGGCCGGGCTGGTTTTGTTTTTTGTTTGTTTGTTGTTGCTGTTGGGAGTCCTCGCCTGAGGATATTTTTTCATTGATTTTTACAGAGAGAGTAGAAGGGAAGGAAGGAAGGGAGAGTGAGAGAGAGAGAGGAATATCCATATGAGAGAGCTACATCGATTAGTTGCCTTCCCCACATGCCCCAACCAGGGCCAGGGGTCCAACTTGCAACCCAGGTACTTGCCCTTGACCAGGAATCAAACCTGGGACCCTTTGATGCATGGGCGGATGCTCTAACCACTGAGTACACAGGCCAGGGCTGATTCCACTTCTATACAAACACGACTCACATGGCCCAAGCCTCGTGAAAATAAAAGAAATCTCACTTTACTCTCAGCATCTCCCACCGAAATGTTTCCCATCGAGCCCAGTGTGCAAGCCCTCAGGCTCCTACTCATGTATAAACCGCCACGTGCTTTGGCGAGGACCCAGCAGGAGGCTGCGGCATGCAGTCCGCGAGCCAGGGCCCTGCATAGAGCCCCGCTCTCTGAGCACTTCCATCTTCGCGAAGGTTTGATCACGTCCACACGGGGAGATGCCTTCTCTGGTTTGTTCCCTTTTTAGTGCCTCCACTGCCGCAGTGAGGCCGGCTTCCCCGGAACACACTGTGGCTGGCACTTTCCCTACTAGGTCCTGCCTGGGCTGCGCTGCCTCCCTAGGAAAATCCCTGGGTGCTTTAAAGCTGAGTCTCAGACACATATTTACTGTCACACATCATTGGACCGGTTCTCTGCTACTTTCAGTAAATGGGATCATGACTATTATTTTCCCTTAAGTACTTTGACTTTACCAAATAAGTAATTGATGATATTGAAAACGGAATCTCAAATTAATACCCACCAAAAGGCAGTCATCATGTCATCATCCTCATCACCACCATCACCACCATCACCACCACCACCACCACCACCACCACCACCACCATCACCATCACCATCACCATCACCATCACCATCACCATCACCATCACCATCACCATCACCATCACCATCACCATCACCATCACCATCACCATCACCATCACCATCACCATCACCATCACCACCACCATCCCCATCACCACCATCACTCACCTCCTCACCCTCACCACCACCATCACCATCACCACCATCACCATCACCATCACCATCACCATCACCATCACCATCACCATCACCATCACCACTCTGGTATCTGAACGCTGTTTCCTGGAATGAAAATATTCTCCCATTCACATAACTGTCCTCTATCACTAAAAGGCAACTGGTTTACTTTTCCTGGACAATTGCCCAGAGATAGCTGGGTCAGGCGGTCCTAAAACACTTCTTCATCATTAAGCCTCTATTATCTTAAATTTCATTAAAATAAGATGTTTTTCTAAATTATATAATTATGTGTTGGGGAGCAGGAAATTTTACTCTAGGTTCTTCTGGCTGGTCTAAGAATTAAATCGATGTAAGACAGATTAGCAGGAGCAAATAGCCAAATGTAATTATGTTTGGATGTACAGGGTTCATTAAGACCAGTGGTCCCAAGGCAGGCTGGGCGTGCCTGCCCCCAGAGCTAAGGGGATGGGGAAGTGGTCTGGGACTTCAGAGGGGAGGAAGGAGCAAATGTTTGGTAAACAAATGTTCGCTGGGCCTCAAAGTGAGGCGTCTGATGGCCAGGCTCCTCCAGCCCCTCCCCTACCTGCCACCCCACCCCAGCCCCTGTTCTCTGTAGACCTCCAGCGAGAGCCCTGTTCCGGGACCAGGTATCGATTCTGCCTCAGTTCTTCCAGGCAGTTCGCAGGGAGGTCAAAGGTCCTGCTGAGACTTTAGTTCCTTCAAAATAAAGTCATGCCCTGGCCGAGAGCTGGGAGTGTCCCACTTTGCTTCCCATCCGTGACCCACACACTGTGGACTCCGGTGCCAATGCGGACAATGTGGACATGAGCATCTTCAGGTAGAAGGGTTAGCCTCCCAGGCTTTCGTGACTGTAGTCATGTGTGTCCCTGTCACGCTGGCCACCAGGACATGTTAACACCTATCTGAGCATTTGCCTGCGTGACAGTCTGAGGCTGGAGTGAAGTCAGACTCTCGTCTCCACCTCCTGAGTGATGGCTAACAGAACACGATGTGATCTAATCTGGTTCCCTCCCAAGCCTTCCTCCGCTAAACCCTCTGACCGCCCGGTCCCTCACGTTCAGTGGCACAGAGTGTAGCATCATTTCCTACACAGGGGGGATCTGAGGAGCTGTCAGCTGTATTACGGTTTTTTCCTGTATTTACCAGGAAGCTTCACAGGGTACGTGCTTAGAGAAAGCTGTGTTTCCTTTGACAGTTTTTGTTTAGTTTAGTTTTGTGGTTGCTCAGTGCAGTCAAAAGCGAAGTTGGGAGTCATTATAATCTCATACAGTCTGAACTTGTATGGCCACGTCAATCCTCAGGTAGATTCCCTTCGCTGGTCAGAGCGCACTGGGAGGGAGGAAGAGGGGGCAGAGGACCCTGCTGCTTCTTTAAAAAAAAACAAAACCCAGGGAAACCCTTAGAAATGTGAGAAATGGGGCATTTCCTCCAGCTGTTCTGTGAATGGGGATTCTCTTCTAAGTGCCCTTAGAATTTACATCAGAGCTCTAGCAAGAAGTTGTTTAACCCTTAAATGGGCATTGCTTCTTGCAAACCCAAATTTGCAAAACCAGCTGGGAATGTCCAGGCCAGAATCAAAGGACTGTGGAGAGGGACCTGCCCCGCCCCCCTCCCCCATCCCCACCCCCAACAGG